ATATTGGAAAGAAAAGTTGGTATAACTTTTAGAAATACATATTTATTTCACATGACTTGACAAAAGAAATAATAATAATGACATTTCTGAAAACAAAAGTACATTTTATTCGGTGTTATTGACGTCAGATCGCGCATAAAATCTACCACGTAAATAGTATAAATAATTTACCATGTAAATTGCGGAACGTGTGTATTGGAAGTGTATTATTTGTCTCATCTAAAGTATTGAAAGAAAATTATTAATTATCGTCACCCCTTTGCGGCCGAAGATTCTTCGAAACATACAAAACCTTCAACGTATGAACCTAAATTGTATATCGATTGCTTAATTAGTAGAAAAAAAAGAAAACTACATACTGATCTCTGGCTGTTCGACGAATTAGATTATTTGTCCACGACTTAGTCTGCCAAATCTGAACATTTCACCTGACCGAAATGCCGACATCCGTCCGCAAAGGGTTAATATCGCCAAAACTGCTACTGTTTGTTTAAATTTTATTAAAACAAGGTCCTAAATAACTGGTTAGGTACATTGACAATTTTGCTGTGAATTGATGTTGGTCTTTCTGTGTTAAATCTAACTTGAGTTTTGTCTGCGATTACAGAAGAAATAGGTCGGGTCTAGGTCAGGTCTAGATCAAATCTCGGCTTCTCTTTTCCTAAATGTCTTATATAATTTACAAGAATATCGGTTTACACGGTCTGCATGTTTTCATTCACACAAATGACAGTTTAGTTATGTAATAATGTGTACTATGACATAATATAATTATTTGTTCCTGCCGAGAATGCATGGGAACCTCGATTTTGTTCTTTGACATCAAAAGAACTCTGCTGGCAACGTGTTTACAATAGAATTGTGCTAAATAATCCTTACCAACTGAACTTCGTATCTTTCAATGATACGAACTCTCACCGTTGCATAATAATATTAAAAGCCTTAGTAGGTTAAAAATAATATTCAAAACAATGGAGTTTTATGAAATTCTCTGTTTTATACCGTTTTCAAAGTGAAATTATGTAAAATTTATTTTCCCACTCCAATAGTTTTAATAAATAAAACAATCATTTGAAACAGCATTAAGTCTGATTGAACTTTGTATATTACTGTTTCCTAAGAACTTTTACTGTCTGCGAATGCATAAGTACATATCAACTTCGACACGTGGTAAATAGATAATCTAGCTGAATCTTCGTGATAAACGCAATATACATTTCCATTTAATCTTGAAGTGTTGAGTAACACTTTATCAGTTTCCACAGATAAACGTCAATTCCTTCGACCATAAAAAACGTGTTCTCCTATTAATTCTGAAAGTCTCAGAATTTTATGAAATTTCGCATATTTCGTATATTTGAAACTTCGTTAAATTCTCGGAGTGTTCTTCAACGATCACTAAAGAGTGTCAGTTTTATCGCATAAATTTCATTATAGATACCTGTTTTTTATTAGGAATCGAATTTAGAGTGCAATTTCTACTGTATTAAGGATAACAGTACATAAATTATCGTAGAAATTGGAACGCAAATACGAAATCTGCCTGTGATAGTAGTTTAAAGAAACACGCTAATTGACTCCTCTAATCGCGTTCATAAAGCGTAAGGCACGATCCGTGCAAAAGTAATGAAAGTTGTATGGTCTATGTTTCAATTAACAGCAAACAAAAAAAGGACGAGTATACGATCCGAGTTTGTTTGTCATTCTTCGAGGAACAGTCAGTGAACTCGGTTCGCCTCGGTTCTGACTCGACCTTTTTCATTTATAGTAATTCCGTCAATCGATAGGTAAACTTCAGTTTCCTTAAGAAGGCCGTGCAAATACTTCTGGCAACAAGTGACTGAATAATTTACTTTAAAAATCTTAAATACACAGAAATTTTTCGTTTACAATATTAAACTGTAATTACATATTGCTATAAATGACATACCATTGTTTCTATTTTATCCTAAAATACAAAACTTTTATATCTAACAATAAAATTCATAAATTGACAAGAACTAAAATATTTACTTAACAAAGTTCTCGAAATAGTTAATAAAATAATTAATTATTTATCCAAATTGTCCTGCAAATTTCTTTGTAAAAAATATGAAATATTATATGTATCATACATTTTTTCCACAATTTTACGTAGCTCAAGCATTTGTCTAAATTTCTAGAAAACGAAAAATCTGAAATTACGTGAACTTTTCATTCAGTATTCATTGTTAACCCTGGGGACGTAGAAAACGTTATCGTTGAACATTGCAGTAAACATCTTAATTCGACGATCTTTGAGGCGAGTTCTTAAAATAGGAGACAAGTTGCGGGGTATTTTAAAAATCGCTCGGTAATCCCGAGTGCTGACGTTCGCTTCCAGCACAGCCAATTTACGTCGCACGGAACCGAACCCTTTCCTTCCTTTTTGTTTCCTCCCGAGGCAACGTCTGAGGCGAACGGCATCTGTAAACCTCGTGAGAGTAATCGTGCGGCAACATGGCTCGTTGCGGTATGCAAATCCGATAGATCGCAAAAATTCAATCCTAATTTCCTGCTGTGTCGTCCAAGGGGAAAAACAAAAATTCTTAGTCGACGTTAATGGTAGAATCTGGTGATTTTCTATCGTCTGGCACGTATTTCCTTTTTTTCTTTACAGCGTTTTTATAATGCTTGACCTCTCCGCCGGTGAATCGTGGGACACGAAAGTCTCGGGATTCCCGAAATACTTCGGTGCTCCTTGATAAATATTGTGGATCCTTTGGACGCATCCCTTGTACTATTAACCCCAACATGCTTTCCTTGAATGATTTGTTCATCAATTTCGTGGATAGCCCTTGTATCTTTAAATCAGCTCCTTTTTTAGTGTCCTTTCTTTTAGTATTTTTTCGGAGTTTGATTTTTTGTGCTTTAAATTGTTTTTATTTCATATAAATTTAAATATAGGACTTACGATATCTTGAAAAATTTTATTTGGAAAATTGTATCAGAAGTTGATAAGTTTTTCAAAACTTATAAGTAACACACTGTAATAGATACGTATGCGGCTTTCAAATATTATACTTTATACAAGTTTTTGTTTATTTTGCATTGAAAAAATAAGAACACCTAAGTGTCTTATCGATTCGGTAATACTCCTGTGATTGATCACCTAACGACACGGAAAGGGAAGATAACGAGTCTTCTTTAATGAATGTTGCTTTGCAGCCGTCACGCACGGCAAATGATTTATGTATTCCAATCGAAGTATCTTAAAAACACGTCTTCGTGTACAGAGTGACCTACAATTTACTGATACGGTTAAGAAGAAACACATTCTTCACATCAACAAAAATTATTATGAATGTGTTTTCATATGAGTTTAAGATATTAACATGTTCCCTTCGGGACAAAAACCTCAGCGGGTCAGTCAGTAGATCAAAGGTGATATTTTTAGTACACAGCAGGTCTAGACTATGGTGTCTAGATGTCATGAAAGTAAAAGTTAGAATCCTTGAGTCAGGGGGCGCGTCAGAACACCAGGGTCCTGGTGACCTAGCATTCGAGGGTTCAAGGATGCTTTGGGATAAAGCACTCAGTGAAACAGCCAATGAATCAAGGGGAATATTTTTAGCCCAGGACAGGTCTAGACTATTGTACACAGGTGTCATGGTGAAAAATTGATTCTTCAGTTTAGAAAATTAACAGGTGAGTTCAGAAAAACTGGAAGTGTTCTAAAAATATTCTTTCTATACTAAATTAATAATGTTAGAATACAATTGGCTAAACATTTTACAGAAACAAAACATTCTGTATCAGACAATATATTGTTACAAAGACTCGTCAATTAAACAATTAAGTATAGAATTATTGTTTGCTGTATAGGTAACGTGCCAGACTATGAATAGTTTGGTCTGATTTACTAGTCAAACTGGTTCAGAGTTTTCTAAAAAAAACCAGACGGTGAAGAAAAAATTCTCACTACGTAAGTTAAGTAGTTGCCATGTTTGTGTATTATCTTGTTAACGAACATTTACAAGATTTATAATTGTCGAGTACTCTTATAAAGTAAAAAGTAGGTGTATAAATCTTTTATGATTTTATAATCTGATCGCACCTTTAAAATGTTTCGATGATCACCGTCATATCTTGTGTCAATTGATTGGATTATAATTGACTATTAACTCAAAGCCACTGAATGACGATATTCCTGAATCTCACAATGGATGCAAAAAATTGATCATGTAGACACGGTAACGTAAGACGTATCATAGAATCTGTGAACTATCGTCAGTTTTTATTATCAGTAGAAACATCGAGATATGGCCAGACACATTAATGAATCTGATTGATCAAAGACTCGTTTTATGAATATTCAGTTTCTGTACTGCTAAAACCAAACTTTATACCAAAGAAACTTTAATCCATATCTTTAATCGGTTCCCAGAATAGTTTTCATTTTTATCGTAGCACAAGCAACAACACTGGCCCTACAAATATCGAGAATATTAACACTAAAACTGTCGAGCAGTCAACTTAACCTTTGGAAATTTTCCTATAGACACTATAACAGTGCATCTACTGAGATTTCCATTAATTTATAATTAAGTTCGCGTATTACTAAGTTAATGTCTTCAGTCATTTCTCGCAGAATCAATTGTTACTTTTCTAATAATTGTAAAAAGAAGAAGATCAGGATTGTGTCACTTTGACCTGTCTGGTAGAAGTATTAAAATTCACGATATTCCAAAATCATGTGCACCTTTTATTCAATCTCGTACGAGAGTAATCCATCGTGATTCATCAATTTACGAAACGTGATTCACGAAAATACGAGCTGAAATGTAATCGTGTTCAAATGTGCCGGAATGAAGAAAGCAAAAATTTGCTCGATCTATTATGGTTCGAGGGGAGTTTCGCGATTACTCCGGCTAACGTTGAAAAAAAAGCGATTGACGGCGGTACAAGAAGTGGCAGCGTCCTATCGTATTTATCGGCAAATAAATTTCTGTTCGAACGTTCCGAGAACAAGTAAAAACTTACTCGATTACGAGAACGCGTTCTTGTATTAAATGGAGTGTTAAAGAAGCCGAGATAACAGTTGTTCACCAGAAGTTATTGTGCCATTTGCTGGATTATCGCAACTTCTACGGCTCAGCAACTGTTTCATTGAACCCCGTCCATTCTTGACACATGATTTCGTTAACAGTTTTCGCAAGTTCATGGTCCGCTGAATGGATATAAAGTGTTACAGGGTTCCACGTTTAGGAATTTCGCGTGAAATTCCACTTTTGGATACTGGTCCGACTTGTATTAACACGTTCACACCGACCATGTAATTCACGCTTTTTTCCATCTGGCGGCGAAGTTCTTAAAATTGGGTAAGTAAATTAATTTTCAATTGTATACGTAACTTTCAGCAAAAGATTCTGAAATTTATGTAGTAATGTAATAGTAATAGTCATTTTTTGATCATTTTTTAATTACTTTATACTACTATAGACAACCCGCATTCCGACTTTCCTTCATCAAGCCGCGACGAATGTGAAGCCGACAAACCGATCATCAACATGACTCGACCAAATATTCTACAATTCACGTACAACAATAAAGAAACTCCTCCAGTAATCAACAAACGAGTTGATTAATTTTTACAGCGGCTATGGTTTTTCGAAACGAAATGGAATGTATCCGCGTTCAATGTTCAACATTTGTATGCGGACATCACGTAAGCCATGAGTTGTAAGTTATAATAATCGATTCCTTACTTAGGACGAGTGTCTTATTTGATCGATCGTCGGTGGAAAGAAAACACGTCTCGATCACTTACTATAATTACGTTATTAAAAGTTTCCGGTCATTTTCTAACACACGTTAGTTGATTCATTTTCTATCGCGTCACGGCATTTCGAAGATTGCAGTCGTGAAGTGCAACCCAATGAGCTTCTGATATTCGCAAAAAGGACTATAATTTCGTTGTTTCTAGAACAAACACGTGGTGCACGGTTGTCGTTATGAAATCTGGTCGTCATTTTCAGGCGCGACGCGGAACTTTCAGCTACGTGGTGGTTCACCAGAAATTACTTGACGATGTAGCTTTTAGTCAGCTCAATTATGTGGCGTACGATTCGATGATTACCAATTTGTGGATTGTTATATTGGCAGTTGAAAAGGTAATCGATGCGAGGGAAATTGGAGTTGATTTTAATATTGCGGATGAATATTCGCATGAATATGCGATACCGCGGATACACAAACCGATTTACGTGAAAAGAAATTGTAGATTAATTAATTAATAGATTGGTAATGAGTATGAAATTTCAGAAGCTGAAAGTAATTGGAAAGACAAAAACAAAGATTTTACTCATTGAAAGAAACTTATGTCAAGTTAGGTTTAGATTGAAATTCGTTTGAACTATGCTAACGATAAATTAATCTAAAAAATAAAGAAAGTCAGTTATTTAATTTAGATTACACTCACGGTAACATGCAGATTGGACAAGTAAATAAATAAATGGAAAATACATAGAATAGGAAATAATTTATTACAGTTCTCTGTTAGGATGGTCCTAGATTAAAATTGAATATTTCCACGAAATATCTTTGTTTTTTAACGATCATGTGATTTGATAGCTACTTTTTGCATAACAGTGAAATGATTGTGTTAATAACAGCTGTTTGTTTCATAATTGTTTTTCAGTGTGTATACCGGCGATCAAATTGTTGCGACACAACTTCTGCTACCGTGGTCTGAAAAGATAAAGGGAAAAGAAAGATAGTTTTCCGTGTTAAGACGCGAAAACGGGAAATCCCTTAAACATTTTATTGTTCGAAATCTCAGGTCAGCTGGTTACCAAATGTTCAGATAACTGGAGTATTTGAGTCGACAGCGCATCAAGGACCATTGTCGCAGGTAGTTTCGGGGAGTGTGTTGACTGTCTCACTATCAGCTTTTTTAAACGTATGAACTCTACAGGTATAGGACGAAATGCTGCCAGACGAAATGATAAAAGTCTACGAAACACGTAGCTATTTAAGAAATAGAATTCTAAGACCACGTGTACGTAACGCTCGGAATGTAGCGTCGCCAAGTCAACACTGTTTCCGTTGATCTACATATATTTGAAGTATTTAATCAATATTTAGATATTTCTCTGTACTTCGGTTATGTAATAAGTTTCCTTATAGAAATGAATTAAATCGATGATACTTCAAATAACTGTGATTTCATTTCGAAAATTGTAAAAATTATGTTATATTACTTTGTGATATTTATCTATCATGAGTGAACTAGAGTGTCGAAACAAACAGTTTTGTTGAATAAAAACGATATCACTTATACGAAACGCTATGTTTATCTTCGTCTACAAGATTCTTCAAGGAAAAATTCTTAACTTCACAACAAATTTTTGCCTTTGTTTACGAGGTTTGTTATTTCAAACATATTCACCTTCGAATTTGCTATTTTTTAAAGAAAAAGAAAAAAACACCATATCATTTTAACTTCGAATTACACTTCCTTGTTAGAAAAACGATCTAAGTAGATTTCGAAAAAAAAGAATTAAAAAACTAATTTTAATAATTATGACAATTATTTATAAGTAATCTATAGATTTTTATATATTCACAGCTTCCAATGGCCAAAAAATAGAATAAAATAAAAGTTAACGAAATTTTCTCCCTTATATTGGATTCCTGTGCCACTGGAACCAATTACCACAGAGAATAGAATTTTACTTAACTGCAGAACCTTTGAATTCATCTATAAAGATATGAATTTGGTGCTCTAGCCATACCGACACACTCGAGGAAATAATTAGAAGCGAGGCAGAACCGTGTCTTTAGGCATCCGTCAAGGTGTACAAATAACTATGCCGACACAATTATGTCGTCTGCTCGAAACTAAGCGACAGGAAAATAGCTCTAAAATATCTAGGAAAAGAAAGCAGATGTTCTTCTGGGAAAGTAGGCTGCCTCTCACTCGGTAACGTCAGTTAATTGTGCTTTGGACTATATAAGAAGACCATTTTGCTCGTTACTGGATCGTACAAATGAAAGTTACCAGCAAAATCGATGGAGTTAAACTAGTTTATATATTTCCGTAGCAAAAGGTGTAATTAAAAATTAAGATATTTCATTTTAACTGAAAGTAACCAGAACGATTCATGTTAATTAAGTACATAAATTACAGCTGAACTGTTTAAAATAGGTGTGTGCCAATTGGTAAGAACTATGTGAACGTTTTCTTAAGTCACTAGGTACAATTAAACTTGATATATCGATCTAGACGTATCTTTTGCATATTTTATCTGCAACTGCATAACATTTTCAACTCCTCCCTCATTTCCATCGTTTTTTACCAGAAAACAGAACTCCTGAGCGTTACCAATCTCAATACTAATTCACATATGGAAATATTGTTTCAAACAGGCGCAATAAGCGACAGCAATTATCGTCGACCAATTTTCATAATGGTTCATTATTTATAACCTAGTCATCGAGTTGACGCAATTAATAAAGAGATTGTGATCTATTACGATCTCATGTCATTTAATCGAAGTATCGAAGTATATCGTTCATCTCTGTTGTTTCATATGAGTCTGTCAATAAAAGAGTTACTTCCTTCTCTTCAAAGATATCATGGAGAATTTTTTGTTTTTGTTGTTGTTGCCAATATATATTTAGGATAAAGGACTAATTGAATTCATTTTGTATGAAATAAACTAACGAAATTAAATTCAATAAGAAACAATTGTAACAAACATATATCTAAACACTTTTTTCTAATCATCTTCTTATAGAGCTCACCACTTGTTGTACACTACCAGTCTTCTACGTTACTTTACGGTGTGATCCTTTAAGGGTTAAAAAGGTATAATAATAAATTTTACTTACAGAATAATTTTGATATCTTGGCGTGGAAGAACATGTTGGCGTGGCAGTGTAAAACTTTCAATGTCCCGAGTACTTACGTAAAGAATACCGGTCCCGATTGACCAATGTCGAACGAAGAACCGGAATCGTTGGAATGATTAGAAAATGTGATTCTTCGCGGTTTTCAAAATGGTTTCATCAGTGCAGATACGGACGTCTTCGTCGACGGCCGTTCGTGCACTGAGTGCAGCAGTTCCCTTAGTCGTAAATCTACGTCTCTTTTTTCTTTCTTTTCGAATTGGTCTGAAATCGTTGCGTGATAACCAGCAGTTGCCGCTAGGAGCTGATATGGAGTTGGATTGTTCGTCTAAAGACTGTTACGAGCTATCTATCTGTTAGAGTTCGACGCGGGTGGAGATACAATAGCTTGACCGCTGGCTTAGCTATCGCTACAACGTAAGCGATGTATATATTGGTTACTTTTAAATATATAATTAAAAAATGTGATCAAAAAATATTTGATTTGTAGTGTGAAAGGAAAAATTAAACTTTAAAGTTTCTTTCTCTGAGAAACTTACTTTTTTACGATACTTAAAGTTTGACATGTATGCTATCGAATATTATTGCCTGATTTGTCTATCTGTTGTGTTATAATTATATTTCTTAATAAATAAAATTTGTTTCCAATTGTGTGTACATTATAATAATCACTTTATTTGTCACTTTTATGATAGAATAAATATTTACTTTTTAATGATAAATTTTGAACTGTTTTTTTTCTTGAAATATTATTATATTTAATATTAGAGGACTGGATTATGGGACAGTGAGAAGAGGGAATATAGCAACTCTATGATTCAAAAATAGCTGAAAATAGAAATTTTGAATAACTGTTAATAATATTTTAAGTCGTCGTTTTATTTAGTTCTGGAATGGTATTGTTTAACTAATATATTATGTACCTATAATTTATCCATGAAAACTTCAAATGCCTCTTGAAAAGACTATTAAATAAATCCACGTGGTTGACATTTTTAAATCGGTTTCTACGATCTACGCGAAGAATCGCAAATTTTTTAATTGAATGATTTAAATCTGACGTCAATGACCTGTTAGGTAATGACCCTCAAATGTCCATAAACGTCAACATACAGGTGGAACTATATGGCTTCATGAATTTTCATGTAATCAGATTACACGATCACGAATAAAACTTACAGAATGACCAAGGTTCTTCTAAGGTCAATACATTAAACATGATTCAAATAAAATTTTCAGTAATGGATCTTAACTATCTTAGAAATGTTTTTACATTACAATCTTTAGAAGAACCACTGATTTATATAGACGTAACAAATTTAATTAAGAGATATGTACACGCTTATTATTTCAATTTTTAATTCGTTGCGTATAACATTTATTATGAAGTAAAACAATACAATCGAAATGCAATCAATTAAAAGCATTACTTAATTATAAAAGTCAGAAATTTATGAGAAACACACGAGCTTCGAAATTTCATTGTTTTTCAATTTTTGCTTGCCCCTAAGTTCGTTTATCTTTAAGTGCAACATGACGTGGACCGGGTTTAACGATGCGCAGGAAATGCATTTATGATGTTTACCAATTGATGACCGTAAGAGGTTCGCGTACTTCTAGAATTTTACTCCACCTTTTGATTGCTAGTTGCCGTATCACAACCTCGTCCGCAATGTTAACGACCTGACGGGCTCAAGGCCATGAGGCATGTTCAGTGCCGTGGGATCATTTTCCTTGTGAACCAAAAAAATATTTTATCAGAGTTATAACGATAATTCGAAGTCAGATTTTCTGTTATTGGACCGGACAGCTGTCTTATCTTTGAAATGATATAGGTTATCTGGGAATTCATTCCTCTTTCGCTCGGTACCAAAGATGGCCGCCGTTTGCAACTGTTACTATATTTGTTCGTTCAAAGAAGTAACAGGAACGACTTAAACAAAATCTATTTCTATTAGATGCATAACGACCTTTTTTACAGTACGAAAAGTTCAACTTTTGTATAAAATCACATGATTTTTTATTCATACCACGTGGACCACCAATTAATTGAAATGAATTTTATTTTTAGTGTTACGGGATTCTGTGTATACATAATAATATATTTATACTATCAAAATAGCTATTTTATTGCTGTGTCAAAATTAATAGGCGCCAAATTCAGATTCACAGTTTAATTATGTATTTTATAGGTTGTTTTATTATATCCATGACTATGGAAATAAATACAAAATATATTCTGGCTCAAGTATTATATTTGTTATATAAATACTTTTATCAGAGATAATATCCAAGGATAACGTGCAGACTTTTATGGCATTTTTTAAGTGTATAAATAAAACTACCTCTCAAATTTCTACAAATTTCTACCTGTGGAGAGCACTTCAAACTATTAAAAGTCGATTAAAAGGTTGGTAGTGCAGTTAGATGGATCTTTTTGTAAGTCTGAAGTATCCGACCGCCTGCTGTCAGTTATTTCATGTCACGGTGGGGTAGTCATTGCGATTATACGACCAACAAGTGTGATTACTGGAAGGGAATGGTTTACAAATGACTACGTCCGTAATCTGCAGCTGCATGCGTTCATCCACGGTAGGATATGCATCGCCCTACAGTGAATGTTTCTTAAGAAGTGGAATGCAAAGTAATTTTAAATTCAATTCAAGGCAATCGAGAGGTATATTAATTTCGTCGACATTGAATTATCTGACGATAATAAATAATTTCATTTGTATAAACAGACTCTGCATATTTATACAAATTTTCAAGTTGATAATCTATTTAGAGAATTTGAAATTAAAGAAAAATGTAATGTACTATATAACTGAACAAAACACTGAGGTAACAAAATAAAATAAAAATATTATTAGCTGACTACTATATTAGTACATTTTCGTATTACTACCTCAATTTAAACCAAGTTTAACTAATTATCTGTTGCAACACATTATTAAACATTCTCTGAAACATCTTATTTTTATTTTTATGAGAACAGGTGTTCAGTAAATAATAATATCCACCTTCGACGCTACTAATTAAGAAATTAATTATCACATTGTTCAGAATTTTTCTGTGTTATTTAAAAATGTGGGCCTGTGGACAAAACAGCGTCTTCGACTGTTTGTTGCGGATTTCGTTGGCAATTATCAACATTCTTGTTAGATGAAAAGGCAGCGCCGCCGGTTGTCCGGTTGCCGTGCCATACCCTTTCGGGTGTTAATTGTTGGTCTCCTTTTGGCCTCTGTTCAGCTGAAACTAGTAGCGACGTTTTTTCCATCTCGTCAAATGGAACAAGCCTTTTACGTACCTGCAATATTTTGGAGCTAACAATGCATTCGATTCGTTTTGTCGTCAGTGCGTTACGATTCTACGGTGTGCACGTCAGACATGGGGGAATTAATTATTCAGATAGAGAGTTTGAAATAACAACTAAGGAATAATACCAGGAATTTGAGAAGTTTTCCCCATGCCGTAGGACACGGTCGTGACGCACGTTGCGTGTTCTGTTTTTTGTTTACATCATCCCGGCATTCGGCCTCTTTGTCAGCGAATCTTTTGGGCACAAACAATGAGATGAAAAATAATTAATAAAGACTAGTTAACTTATTTTCGATTTAACCGGCTGTTTCCATTAGCGTTACCGCTAGTAATAATTATTAAATATTTTTAATTATTCTCATCATCAGCGATTATTTTCGAATTGTCATAACAGGTCTGGTTCAATGCTATAAAGTATTGTGAATAACTATTCAAATCAAATAGTATCTGTTTCTGTTTAGATTATCTTAAAACTGCTTCAGGATTCTTGGCATTTTACTCAGCAAATTAAAATTTTCCTCCCATTAAATAGTACTTGCTTGGTAACTAGTTATCGGATTTTTATCGAACACTCCCATTTCCATTTCCTCCGTACTTGGTTCGTGAATAATTGTACGGAATTTCTGCTCGGTCGCCGCACGTTTGGTTGTCTTTCCAGCTAATTGACTTTATCGTTCTTCTCCTCCGCATTTGCATCTTCAACTTCGCGTTGATGCTGCTTTATTTTCTTCCTATCCTCTGCGGTTAACTTGACGCCTATTACACGGAATGCATCTCTTAAGTGCAGCACTGGATTGGTATCAGGTATACGTTTTAGTTTAATTCACAATAAACTCCTACAACGTCGGAATGAACAATCTTAAACAGGATTTCAAGAACACTTCGAGATCCTTTTATTTCGTTCGGAAGAATCTTATATTAAATTAACTAATACATGAAATTATTATTAGACTGCGGATTTGTGTACATTTATGGGAAATTTGGAACTGCAAATTGGCAAATATTGTGCAAATTACGAAAAAATACATAAAATATCCAAAATGTAGTGCTTCTTATAATATTTGTTAAGAAAAACAATTTTCAACGGTCTAATTATTAGATTACAAATCCTTGTACAAAATTAGAATAGCTATTGATTATTTAAACAGAATCATATCCGTTAATTAATCATATATTAAAGAAATATTTATTTTGATTATGCTCTTTATCAATTACAGAATCCCTGATTCCAATGGGAAAGTAATGGACACTTTACCTGCAAGGAAAATTTCCTTATCCGAGTCTTCGATCATTTCCCTTCCATTCTTTTTACCTTTTTCCTTCGTTCTTGCAGCCTTGATTGTTTCGTTCCTTTTGCTTTCACTTGCATCGTCCTTTAATTTCGGCTTAGTGTCCTGTTTTGTTCTCCCTTCTTCTTGTTTTGATTTATCATCCTTCACATCTTTCTTTGTCTCCCTTTTTCGTCCTTTACGCCTTTTTGGCGATCCTGTGGGATAATTCATCAGGGATTCTTCGCGATGAGAAATAAAACCCATTACGATTGAACTAGATTCTATTTATCACTTACTGTTAGTAATCTTTTTGATTATTCTCATTCTGTACCTCTAATCTATATTTACGAAAATGTTACACAAGAAATACCGTTGAAATTTCCTTGTTGCTAATATTTCGAGGAAAGTGAAGGAAAGACGGAAAATGCATTTCAATAAGTTCTTTCTACCACGAATTTAATATCGCAAATATGAAACCATGACGCTAGTCTTATTATAGAACTACGTCCCCTCTCTTCTGTGGTTTTACCTACATACATTACGTACTTCACGTACGTCCTGTATGTTTATTTATAACATTCAAACGTTCGCGTAATAATGATGTCCTTATTACATTTCATTGTGTACCAAGGAAAACGTGATTCTCTTTAACACTAGAACCACCGAGCAATTAACATGATTTATATATAATCCTTATAAAATTTGTAACAATAGATCTTTTCGGTTTCTTCATATATTAATTATAGTATCGAAGCGAAACTATTTATCTTTAAAATCATTGCAGTTATTGAACACGTTTAAGATATCAATAATTGCGAAATAAGAAAACTGAAACTCGTCATTTTTACGGTAGTTCTAGTGTTAAGCAGATGCAATAAAGAATGAAGGTAATCACAGAAAAGTCTTGCAGAAAGGTGTAGTTGGCATCGTTCGAGAATTTACTTGCGCTTTCAGCCATTTCTATGTTGATTTCCGAGAAACTCGACCGCAAGCAACCAGTGTGTCGGGGGTTAAGAAGTAATTCTCTTACTTCCATGGACGGTTGAATCCTTTTTAAAACAATCTCCGCCACTGAAACACGTTTCTGTACATACACCGCCTGCTTCTTCGATTTCCTCCGGATCTTCTTTTTCTTGCATTTAAGGTAATTGACCTTCAGCGATGCAGGCGGAGCGCTGTCGTCCTCCTCTTCATCCACGCAGTCGACCACTTTTTTCTCTTTCCGTTTTTTCTCCTTCCTCTTTTCCCCCTCATTCCTCGCCTTTTTAGCCTGCTCCCTTTTCCATTGCCTGTACTTCCGACATTCCGGGCGGTAAGACATTTTCTGATGCAAGGGTGGTTCGATGCAGTGTTCTCGAAAAAAGAAAAATACTTTATTCAATGCATATTGATTTTTTGGATGAACTGTGGACAGGAAAGGTTGCTGGTTCTATTGATGATCATTTTGATCGTGATGGTCTATGTTAAATGCATATTGACGTTTTAAGACGTTTTGGTTATGGTTAGAGCTACATCTTGGTACACCAATGAATTTCAATGCATGCGCAATCCTTGTCTTTTGTTTCTGGTACGTTCGACTGGGAATTCATATTTCACTTCACGTTGTAGCACTCCTGATAATCGATACGAACGTCGATAACCAATAAAAATTTTCAAAATTGTGAGCGTGGACCTTGTAACCTGACATAAGGAGATCCATACAAAAATGTGAAATCCCAAGTACTCTTTCAAGAAACGTATACAGAGTGCCTATGAAATAATAAAATTCTGAGTAAAAATTGAAACAATGCCCCCTGAAGAGATCTTAGTTATATGTTAAATGGACTACAAATTTTGAATGCAGCGGATTTAATGTCAGTATTTCAATTTCCACCGATGATTACTTAATTATCTCGTGAATTGTCAGTCGACATTGAAAAATAAAATGAACAAGGGAGACAAAACGAAATCTGTGGTGGAATCGGACCGGGAAAAAAGGCAAGAATATAAGAACAAGCTAGTGCAGCTAGCAGAATGTAATCATATAGTGCCTGAAGAAATCGTGAATGCCATTGGCCGAGTAACTGAAACAGTTCGGGCCGCGGACGAAAATGCGCCGAGCAGCGACGAGCTTGACGAGAATCTCGAGGAGCAGTACAAGGATTTAAATTTTTTCCTCGACCTGCCGGACGACACCTACTCTCTCACTGAGATTAGACCTGAGCTGCCATCCTGCGTCCGCTATGGCGTTCGCGCGGGATTAACTCATATCAATATGCCCAAGTTCTCGCCTTTATCCAGGGGTCATCAGGTAAACGGAATTGTCATATAATCCTTAAAGGCTTAATTAAGTTGTCTTATTAACAATAAAATAATTTGATTAGCAATAAAGTATTATTAATTCTTATTAACGATAAAAGAACTTAATTTGAAAGTGTTAATAACGAAACAAAACGTCACATTCATGTAAATAATGTTCTTAAGTTAACAGAAGTATGCTCAATCGATTGTTTATTCATTTCAACTTAATTACAAATAAAGCATATACTCAACATATTCATCGATATAAAGCACAAAGTATGCTTGATTCCTATTAATGTAAATTTTTAAATAAGCAATGATCAAAAATATCAATGATTCTATATCATCGACTCACCAATTCCGAAATCGAAAGTCCCTTTTCCTCCACATTCTCTAACCACTTCACTCCACCCCAATTAAGTACAATCTCGATCACGAAACTCCATGATCCCAAGGCGTCATCTCTGTTCGAGCGTATAGCAGAGAAGGAATCTTGTTCGAACCTTCTAATTTTGGTCGATCCGCGAAAGGTGTAATCAGATCTTGACCCTCGATACACGTCCCCTCGTTACCGATCCTTTCAAATAACAGGGCGGAGCTACAGCGATAGCAGCGTTCGCAACCACTACGGTCTACAAGTCTCGCTGTTGGAACGAGGCGGTTATCGACCAGATTATCGAGGACGGGGATACATTCTATTGCGAGTCGTATAAAGAAATAAACACGGACGACCGTCGGCTGCTAACTATACTGGACCTCCAGCGAACCCTCTGCGTCCAGCACAAGTTGACCGTGAACGTAAGTATTGAAGACGCAGCCTACGCGGGAAAATTCCGGTCTACAGAACCCACAGAATTGCACCTGGTGAAGGCCTTAGACTTGTTCTTCAAGCGCTACAGCGCTGGTATTCTATGCTCTTCTGTGTTGAACATAGCGATCTGGAAGGATGCTAAGTACTACAATATTTTCGATGGCCAGGCGAGAAAGGAAAATTGTGAGCCAGCTTCGTATGATGCCGACGGCACTGCTAAACTGTTCCTGGTCAAGGACCTGATAGGTGTCCTATTCATTATTCTTGAGAAAAGTAACGTTCGAAACGAGCCATTCGTACTTTATGCTATAGCTATCAGTGGCGTGGATCACTACACCCAACCGATCGTCAAAGATGACACAGAGAAGGTTTACACCCATGCAGTTGAAAGACGACCAAGTGGCTATAAGATGCAGGACAAATATCGAGCTGTACTGCAAGGATCCTATCATATAATGCACCCAATGATTCCTGCTCTACTTCGCGGTAGAACTCACATGATCATTGCTTTAGCTGCTTTGGTTTACTCCAGACTGGTGAACAGCAATAGGTGGACAAGCGCGTTGGTGGACCTGATCTTCAACCAGTCTAATTTGTACTTCATCGATTTGGTCCGAGTCGTGGACAAAGATCTGAATGATCCAGATTTCGAGCTGAAGATGGACGACGCGATGGGTGACGTGATTTTAGGCGTCTATTCGGCGAAAGTAAAAATTCGCACGAATGTTGTACCAGGATACGGTCAGAAAAGAGGAAAAATGTCTTTCGATATTGGATTAAGAGAGTTCTTCGAGGCGCAGGCCTGTGGTCTGTTAGAGATCAAGGGTATTTACTACGCGATCTGGAGACATGATGATACATATTACTTTATGGACCCGTATGCTTGTGACGATGAAGGCTTCAGATCAGGCACTGCTGAATTAGATGGATCGGACAAGGCTGGCGAGGCAGCCTGCGTGACGATGAACAGTTCGTTGAACCAGACGTTAGAGACTATTATGGAAAACACTGGTAGCAGGGAGAGAGATCCTTTCGTTATCCATGGTGTCCGAGTTCTTTACATAAAGACCGGGTCCATACCAGGTGGACCTTTAGAGAGAGTGATCTACCGAGAAAAAGGCACGAATCGCAGACCCCACGCACCGATCACCATACCAAAGTCTATTGACAAAGCGGAGACAGAGACAGTAAACATGATGCCGAAAATTCGTCCACAAATGGACAGATGGAAGGATGTTGCAATGCAGGTTCCTCCTTTGATGAAGGATGCGGATGATTATATGATGCCTGATGATGAACCAAGGAGCTACGTGATTCTGCCACCTGAAGAAGAAAAGGAACCTGAAGAACTCGGAAGAGAAGAGGAAGAAGAGGAGGAAGAGGGAGTTAAAAGAGGGTCACCAGAAGATGAAGATTTAGAAGATGAAGAAGATGAAGAAGAACCGACAGAAAAGCTTGAAGAAGAACCGCTTGTTCAGAGGATTGTCCAAGGGTACAGGAAGATAAATCCTAATCGCTTGATTCTTCAAGGCTCTAAGAACTGTTTAGATAGTGGTTTTGAGATAAGATCTAGGGGAAAACAAGGTTTATTAGCAGCTTTGGTAGCACTGACTTACAGGAAGCTGAAGGATCCGAAACGTTGGAGGAATATGGACATCGATCAGCTAATCGATGTCAGTGATAAAACGTATGGTGACATTGTTGAGTGGATTCGCAAGGGGAGTCCAGAAATAAAGGAAAAACGCGAGGCAGACGTTGGAGAAGAAGAAGAGGAAGAAGAAGTAGAAGGCGGAGAGGAAGAAGAAGAAGAGAAACTACTGCCTATACCTAGTCATCTGGTAATGAGCATGTTGCCAGTTCGATTGAAGTTCGGCGAGAATGACGTATTTTTCAAAACGAAGATGGACGTCATTATTGGAGAAGCTACTCCCTTGGCTAATCTTGCAGAAGCATTAGAATGTTACTTCAAAAGATACCACGAGCTGATCTTAGAAAATAAGAAACTGATGTACAGCATTTGGAAAGAAAATGGCTATTTCTTCATGTTCAACCCTTACGGCAGTGACGCGGAAGGCTGGCGTCTGCGGGATTATCCCGCATCCTTTGGCGTACTGGGTAACTTAAACGAATTAGTAGATCTTCTTTATGGTGTGATAGAATATAACGAGCCAGTCTTCAGTATTCACTTCGTGGCGTTGGACTCCATTCAGCCTGGAAAATACTCTGCTGAATATGACATAATCGTGCCTGATGACGAAATTGAAATGTTCAAAACAAAATTTTTACCTATCACTGATGATGATATAAAGAAGATGGAGGCTGAGTTAAAGAAGGACGAAGTGGAAGAAGAAGATACCGATGTCATTGATGTACCAATGGGCGAAGAAGAGGAGGAGGAAGAGGAAGAGGAAGAGGAGGAAGGTGGAAGAAGGAAGCCTAGGGCAGGGTTGCTGGAAGATCTAGAGAAACCTATAATCGATCCTCTGTTAGAAGTTCATGAAAGGGAGCAATCTGACGCGCCTTACAGATTAAATTTAGCGTTGCTCACGGCTGGCCTGAAGATTCCTGAAGAAACAGAAGAGGACATGGAGAAAGTGCATGAACAAAAGGCCTTGGAAAGATTGAAGTATGAACATCCTCCGCCATATGTCATGCCGTCGAATAAGACACTGATAAAGCTTCTAGACGCGAAACGAGCGAAGAGATCCATTCCTTCTTTGGTGTCGAGATTTTCCATTGATTCGAGGCTCGACGTCAAGAAGAAAGGTGGCTTCTCTTCGATGCTTTTGTCTAGGTCAACCATCATGATTTTGGGTTCTGAACCAGACGAAGTTAAACCTTCGAAGAAGATTAAGCTGTGCCCGAAGAGATACTTGTTCTCCAGGTTGCTGCCGATTTGTCTGATACCCATGAGGGCTATCGACGATTTGTACATTCATTATGATAAGCTGAATGAGGGTCAAGAAGAGGATACTGATATGAAAGAGATGAAAAAGGACTTGGTTCACGAGGATACACCGGAAGTACCTGTTGCTGTTCGTATTCGACCAGTTTTGATACCACTCGGTCCGATTATTCGAACTCCAATTCCGGAAAAGAGAATGGGTACCTGTCACGAGAAGAAGAAACGCAAATGCTTGTTGGCGAAAGGCGACATGGGGGACGCTTTGATGGAGAAGATTTTGTGCAATACCGAGGATCTGTTACTGGAATTGTTTTTTCCGGATTTCAAAGTGAACGACCAGGTTTGAGAACTTCTGTCAGGTATTTTTATGTATGTGTAAAAAGTTAGAATGTATTAATGAATACATTTGAATATATTAATATGTAACTTTAGTCTATAAAGACTTAATTTCATTTAATTTATACTAATCTAGATGAAAAAGAAATTTTTGGATTTATTTATTTTCGTCCGGTATTTTCAAGGAGACAAAATTAATAACAATATTTAAAGATACCGTTAAAGGAGATAGATCAGCATGTTATAATGAAAGTATTATAAAATTTGTAATTGATTTCATTGATTATACGCATATTAAATTTCACAATTAATTAAACATAATGTATGCATAGAGAAACAGGAAATTAATCAGAGATGTCTTATTTGAGAGACCTGCTTGATAGTACTTGAACCTTCATCCAGATAAATATATTAATAAGAAGTGAAAAGCACGCGACGCTGATAAAATTCCAGTTAAAAATGCCCTGTCACATGTTATACATGTATAATAATCGTTAATTTCCTTAATAGATGGAAGATCATATCTTATATAACACTTTGCCGGAGACATGCGAATCTACGTCGCATGCAGTGATACTAATGTAACGGACTGAGAATATTCCGTTCGTGATGTTTTTCATATTAAACATTAAGACTTACATAAAGTTATTTATAATTTTTTTAATATAGCACAAACAGTAGAGTTTTATATTTTCATGATAACACGCTGCTCGTGTTGCTATGATATTCAATTACTCTTTATAACGCCTTTATTTTGCGATAGTTACATACAGAAGATAAAAATTCGGATTCTAAGAACAGATCACTCCAAAAAGAATCAGTGGACTCAGAAGGGACAACGGTTCGAATGAAAGTACCGAGTTCGAAGAAGAAAGAACAGAGACAATCTGTTGGTTTAAAAGTAAGAATAGAAATAAGAAATAGGAACGATAACCAATCAGTTTTAGAAATTTTAATAAAGCTATGGTAAAACTATTATCTTTTTAAAATTGCAGTAGAAAAGGATATAATTTCATTACTATAATTAACATTTTTAAGTAATTTCTTGTTAAAAATCTAAGACTTCATTTCCTAATTATTGTAAATCTAAGAAATAAGTCTCTAATGAAAATAAGATAAAATATTTTTCTGAGCATATAACATAAACGAAAATATTGTTCACAAATGTAATTAATCTACTTTAAACTCCAAGCTCACCGATGACGGATTCCGAATCTTACAAGGCAACATGTGTCTCGAAAACCGTGATTCGAACGAACCCTGCTACTTCAAATCCTGCTTTTTCTCTGCCTTGCTCTGCATCCTAACAAAGATCAAGCTGGATC